GGGGGCGGGCGCTGCTTTTTTGAAATTTAAGCTAAGCATGTGTAATTTCTTGTGAAGAAGCCAACACTTAAATGACTTTTAAAGTTATTTGCATTTTTATTCCTCTTTTTTTTTTTTTTTTGGTCTTGAAAAAAAAAGGGGTTGGCATGCATTTTTATTATTATTTTTTTTGGGGGGGGGATGTTCAGCGGATAACAATCTTTAAAGTTGTAGCACTTTGTTTCAGAATTGGAGTGGAGACTTAGCACTGATGACAGACCTGAATAACAAGCCTTTTCTGTGTCGATTTCAACCTTTACATTATGAAAGGAAAACTTGGAGTGGTAGGGGAGAGCCCTCCCCTCAAAAAAAATTCAGCCCTGCCGGAGAAACGGGAGTTTTCGAGGGCTGCCCGGGACATGGCCGAGAGCATTCTAAAATTGTGCATCACCAGCAGATACTATCCCCTCCCTGAAATGTGGGTGTGCCCTGTGATGCCATGATTGCTGTTTGCTGTAGAAGAGGCTAAAGAAAATGGGCCGAGGGTTCTTTCTATGGGTAGATGGTGGTGGCTGCTTTGACGCAGAAAGGAAGAGACCAGCAGTGTTTTCTTTCAGGCTTCTCCTGGCTTGATAGCCTCTCTCTCTTTCTCTCTCTCCCTCCCTTCTTTCTTCTCTTTCTCTCTCTCTCTCTCTCATATCACCCCTGCCACAAAAATCCCCAATCCTAGGTTGCCACAAGTGATAATTGGTCGTTTCTCAAGCAGACAAGTGCCCTGATGGGAAATCGAGGGAAGTTAGCTTTGTCATTTACTGCACACTGATGACATTGTACGGGTGGGGGGAAATCTTGCGAATTTCTATTCCCTTTTACTGGAAAAGCAGGGGAGACCTCTATCCCAGGATGCCTCGCACTGCTGCCCAGTTTTTTTTTTTTGTTGTTTTCTATCCTATTGGGTTGGAAAGTACTAAACATTGGACTGTTGAAATTAGACATTTGAATTCTGTTAACCCGCACTTTAAAGCTTTTGTTTGCATTTAAATTAAATGGCTTCTCAACAAGAAATTGCAGCATATTCTTCTCTTTGGCCCAGAGGTGGGTTAAACTATAAGGGACGGCTGAGATTGAGTGTCAGTGTTGCTAAGCGTGGCATTCACAATACTGGCACTATAAAGAACAAAATAAAATAATAATTTATTGGACAGTTTTTCTACTGCCATTCAATTTGATGTGAGTGCCTTGAAAACTGATCTTCCTATTTGAGTCTCTTGAGACAAATGCAAAACTTTTTTTTTTTTTTTGAAATGAAAAGACTTTTTAAAAAAAGTTAAACAAGGAAAGTACATTCTTTAGACACAAACAAAGCCACATTTACTTTAAATAAAAATTTAAAAATCCTGGTTGAAGATAGAGGACATGAAAATGCCATAAGACCCAATCAAATGAAGAAATAAACCCAGCACAACCTTGGACACCCATTGTCAGCTGAATGATCCTCAGCCCCTTTTGTTTGTGGGACGACGCTGCTTAGATGTGGAGTGGAGGTGATTTACTGCTGAATTAAAACTCAAGTGACACAACTTACGACTTGATATCGTTGAATGAAAAACAAAAAACAAAAAACAATTCAGGAACAACGGCTAATTTTTTTCTAAAGTTAAATTTAGTGCACTCTGTCTTAAAAATACGTTTACAGTATTGGATACATACAAGGGTAAAAATAAATTGTGTGTATGTGTGTTGGAGCGATCATTTTTTTTCAAAGTTTGCTTAATAGGTTATTAAAAAATGCCACAGTGGCTGCGTGTATATTGTTTTCTTTTGGTGACGGGGTTTTAGTATATATTATATATATTAAAATTTCTTGATTACTGTAAAAGTGGACCAGTATTTGTAATAATCGAGAATGCCTGGGCATTTTACAAAACAAGAAAAAAAAAAACTTTTTTCTTTTCCTTGAAGATGTTGCAGTAAAATTTAAATGGTGGGTCTATAAATTTGTTCTTGTCACAGTAACTGTAAAGTCGGAGTTTTAGTAAATTTTTTTCTGCCTTGGGTGTTGAATTTTTATTTCAAAAAAAATGTATAGAAACTTGTATTTGGGGATTAAAAGGGGATTGCTACACCATGTAGAAAAAGTATGTAGAAAAAAAAGTGCTTAATATTGTTATTGCTTTGCAGAAAAAAAAAAAAATCACATTTCTGACCTGTACTTATTTTTCTCTTCCCACCTCCCTCTGGAATGGATATATTGGTTGGTTCATATGATGTAGGCACTTGCTGTATTTTTACTGGAGCTTGTAATTTTTTAACTGTAAGCTTGTCCTTTTAAAGGGATTTAATGTACCTTTTTGTTAGTGAATTTGGAAATAAAAAGAAAAAAAAAACAAAAACAAACAGGCTGCCATAATATATTTTTTTAATTTGGCAGGATAAAATATTGCAAAAAAAAAAAAATTTGTATCTTAAGCTAAGTCCTATTGTACAGGAGAAAAAAAAAAAAGGGTTGTTTGACAACCCTTTGAGGAGAGAAACAAAAGGAAGTAGTTAAATGCTTTGGTTCACGGATCATTTTCGTTGTATATATTTTTGACGGAATTGGCGTATTCGAAGGACTGTTGGAGGAGGGCTTCACTCTGAACGCCCCGAACCTTGCATCAAGGCTCCCCGGTGTGGCCACAGCAGACCGGACGGAAAACCCTTTATTCGTGTCGAGTGGGAAAAAATCAGTGTTTGCGGAGATGTCGGTAGCGTTTCACAGAGTCCCCCCTTTCTGTAAGAGGCCGTCTGTAAGATGGCAGCTGTAGACGAGAGCGCCAGCGAGCTACATCTTCCTTCTCTGTCACCACCAACCACCCTCCCGCCCTTGAGAGCAGAAAGAAATGCAAACAGAGCTTTCTTTAGTCCTCGAGAAAACAGTAAATAAACGAAACGTGTAGTGAAAGGAGCTGGCGTGTCAGCTAGGCACAGGTGACAAGGATCTGCTGTGGAGGCCAGTGCAAACTGGGTGTCGGGAAGGAGTCCCCCGGGGGTCACGACCAGGACCCTTCGTTCCATGGAGAGTGTTGGCCTGTTGTCTTTCTTACCTGCTCTGCTGCTTTTCTGTCCAAAACCTACATTTTGTCAGTTTCTGAATGCCTGGGGCCTGGGATGAATTCGGTGCCTTTCCAGATCTTTCTCTCTCCTTCCGCGTTTTCTTTCCATCCTCCAGCCTCTGTTGGTCTTCTATTTGTTCTTCTTATTTTTATTTATTTCCTTTCTCCCTCTCTTCCCTCCCCTGTCTCTCTCTGTCTCTGTCTCTGTCTCTGTCTCTCTCTGTCTCTCTCTGTCTCTCTCTCTCTCTCTCTCTCTCTCTCTCTCTCTCTCTCTCTCGCTTTGTAAAGCCAAGTAGCTTTAAGATAATAAAGTGGTGTTTGTTTTGGATGAGGGAATAATACGTTTAAAAAAAATAAAAAACCTATATCAGGAAGCCATTTTTTATTTCAGGAACTGTAAGAAACCATGATTTCAGGTTATGAAAGTGTAACCAAGCATCCTTTCGGGCAATTCTTTACCAAATGCAGAAATCCTTCTTCCGGGAGCTTTTCTGTGGAAGATCCTCTTTCCTCCTTGCCACTTACCTACCTGCTTGACCCCGAGACCCATGGGCTGCCCTGTTAAGGTACTTGAGGGCCTCCAATGTGACCTTCTTGTAATTACAAATGCTAGCCAGCTCTTACCAGCTTACACAGAGTCACCGGAATGCCAGGACTAAGCCATCCTAAAGCACAAAGATTGTGTCTCTGTCCACTGATGGCAGAGAAAAGAGCATTTTGCTTCTCTTTCATGTTCAAAAAGCCAACTCTGCAACAGATGACCCGGTGGGAGAGGCCCCAGCCTGGGTGACCCAGCTGACCTCAGGCCGGTTTCCACACTGCCACAACTTTGTTCAAAGTTGCCCCAAATTGGAACCTGCCACTTGCCATTAGAGGGTCTTTCGTGGGGAGAGGAGGAGGCTGAGCTACTTTAGGGAAAATGTGAACGGTAGAGGAAATCAGCCTGTCACCCCAGCGCTAAGTGACAGTAGAAGGCTGTGTCGATCACAGGCAACCCTGTGACTTTGGTGCTCTCTGTACCCCACCCCTGCAAAGCAAAGTTACATTGATTTCAGTTGTTTGCATTTGTATTGGCAAGGCGAATATTTTTATTACCTTTTCTATTACTTATTGTATGAGCTTTTGTTGTTTACTTGGAGGTTCTGTCTTTTACTACAAGTTTGGAACTATTTATTATTGCTTGGTATTTGTGCTCTGTTTAAGAAACGGGCACTTTTTTTTTTATTATTATGGATAAAATGTTGAGATGGCAGGAGGTCATTTCAATATGGCTTAGTAAAATATTTATTGTTCCTTTTATTCTCTGTACAAGATTTTGGGCCTCTTTTTTCCCTTAATGTCACAATGTTGAGTTCAGCATGTGTCTGCCATTTCATTTGTACGCTTGTTCAAAACCAAGTTTGTTCTGGTTTCAAGTTATAAAAATAAATTGGACATTTAACTTGATCTCCAAACCTTGTCCTTTTCTGTGTCTTTTAAGGGTGGGGAATGGACAGCTTATTTCCCAGGGCGAACTGGAGGTCTTTCTCCATTTTCCTCCTGACCCAAACCCTTAG